CCTTCAAGGTCTTTTGCATATGGAAGCTGATTGGACTTCACTGCATTCCACACCTCAAACTCACCCCCCTCCCCGCAAGGCAGTTGGAATGTCAGTTGCATATGGAACCTTCAAGGTCTTTTGCATATGGAAGCTGATTGGACTTCACTGCATTCCACACCTCAAACTCACCCCCCTCCCCGCAAGGCAGTTGGAATGTCAGTTGCATATGGAACCTTCAAGGTCTTTTGCATATGGAAGCTGATTGGACTTCACTGCATTCCACACCTCAAACTCACCCCCCTCCCCGCAAGGCAGTTGGAATGTCAGTTGCATATGGAACCTTCAAGGTCTTTTGCATATGGAAGCTGATTGGACTTCACTGCATTCCACACCTCAAACTCAGAAAATGGCTGCTTTGGAGGGTAGACCCTATGACATTATACCTGCTGAGTCCTTCCGCCCCCCCCCAATTCTGCCCTCTACAGAATCCACCCACCAAAACTCCAGGTATTTCCCTCCTTATAGCTGGCAACCCTACTTTCCCCTCAGTGCCTGATGGTAGGCAACTTAGTTTGGTCCAGTCACCTACTTTGGCCTTTGGGAGAAAACATATTGGGGCCAATCCTGATAGGGTTGCCAACTCCCGATGGGAAATTCCTGGAGATTTGAGGGATGGAGCCTGAAGAGGGTGAGGTTTGAGGAGGGGTGGGACCTCAGACAGGTACAATGCCATAGACTCCACCCTCCAAACCACTCAGTCCATCATGGGGAACCATTGTTGCCAATCTCCAGGTGAGGGCTGGAGACCACTCAAAATTACAATTGCTCTGCAGAAGGGAGAGCGGAATTCAGCTGAAGTCAAAGGGGCAGATAATGGTAGGTTGATGGTTACCTGCAAAGGAGATGGGGTTGCCAACTCCAGGCTGGCAAATTCCTGGGGATTTGAGGGGTGGAGCCTGGAAAGGGTGGGGTTTGCGGAGGGGTGGGACATCAGACAGGTACAACGCCATAGACTCCACCCTCCAAACCAGCCATTTCATCCTGGGTAACAATTGTTGCCAATCTCCAGGTGAGGGCTACAGATCACTCAAAATTACAACTGCTCTTCAGGGAGCAGAGATCAGTTCCTCTGGAGAAAACAGTGGACTCTGCCATTATACCCTGCTGAGGTCACCACAGCAAAATGACACTGTTTGCCCAAAGCCAGAGTACTCCCCCAGAGCCTCTTTCTAGATCCCGTTGTATTTATTTCCACAACGGGCTTTACTGCTAGTATAAATATAATTTTAAAGTACCAGGCTTTAAAAATGTGTCCCTATCCTCAAGTGATCTAACACAATCATACTCAGGAGCTTGGAAGCTACATGTGGCTCTTCATTATGCCACCTGTGGCTCTTCGGAGCACTGTTCCTTATGACACGTGTCTCGTGTTCCAGGAAAGTGGGCAATTGCTTTAGAAGTTGGGATAGTTTATCATTACTGTGGGACATAAACCCTTTATTTTTTTAAAAAAACACACACAACATATCCATGATGATTATATCAAGGTTGTCGAGATGCAGGTGTGACAGCCCCGCAAGATTTCCCCCGAAAAACCCTTTTTTGCCTTTTAAAAACATTTTTAAAGGCACATGCCCCTGTGGCAAGCCACACTCCTATAGCACAGCTGAGAAGCCTCGCAGAGAGAAGAAGCCAGGACCGCCCTCCCTCCACCGTCCCCAACTTCTCATTTCCCACGCCCAACCTTTTTTCCCCTTCTTTGAAGCTGGGGCTTGGCTTGTGGCTTGAGCCACTAGGGAACGGAATCCCACCCCCTCCAGAAATCACAGCCAAGCTATTCAGCTACAGTGAGACCCAGAGACTTCCAAGGGGGGGGGTTTCCCTCATCCTCCTTCTCCCAGCATTTCACTTGGGTGGAGGACGGCTGGTCTTGCAAGGCAAGCACGGAGGAGGAGAAGCAGGAGAGCTTGGAAGAGCATGCATCCTCTTGGCTCTGCACCCCTGCAGCATCCCAGGGAAATGACCACTGCACCCTGATCCTGCATGACATGCCACAGCCCTCCTTACATCCTTCCCCGCCTCGCAGCCCAAGTCTCAGTGAAGCTTGGTGTTCATTGGAGCAAGGACTGGAGGGTGGGTTTTTATGCCTCGTGAGCTTTGTATGTGTAAGGAGGACATTAGACCCAAGCCCCCTTAAAAATTTTAAAGCCCCGCCCCCAAATCCTACCTATGGGCCTGGTTCGGAAGTATTCTGATAATTCTAAGGGTTGTATTACAGTGAAGAGTGAAGATAAGAAGCATTGCTCTCATTCAGATTTGTTTTCATGATTTCTGTTCATCATGTAGCTATATTTGCTGTGAAGTCGTCAAGAGGCCTATGGAGAATTTCAGACTGAGGACAATACATTCTGCCTTTACTATGATGTGGCTTTATGTTGACTCTTAGAGAACATTTCAAAGCTCGCAAAAGCTGCTTTGTTGGTCTTGGAATGTTTGCTCATGAAAATTTGGCACAGCATGATATTACTTTTTCTGAAATGTCATGCTTCTAAGCATGAAATAGAAATTAATAAAACCATCACTTGTCAAGTGATTGCATTAAGGAGCTCTCACTCTTGTTGAAATACATTATTTACATTAATTATGCAGCTGGAAGAGCAGCTGTATTAATGAAGCCAGCTGGTTTTTCTAATGTCCTGTCATTACACAGCCTGAATATTCTATTGCTTATAATGAATATGTCCTATCAGTATCAAATTTGGTACAAAAGAGTTGCCTGGGGAGGGGTATAATTGGACAGATTTTGTTTTTTAAAAGGTTTTGGTAAATGGCTGAATTATAGCAAATGTTTCCTTGTTTGCAACTGTTCTTTCCTTAAGTTTCTCTGTTTACTGATTTAGATTATAATCGGAATTCAGTGACACTGTAGTGGTCTACCTCTCATTGGTTTGGTGAAAATCTGCTGTGTATCTCTAAAGTTATGAGGTCCAGAACGTCATTTTAAGTGGAAAGGTATTGGCTTTCCTGTGCAGCTGTTTCTGAGGTTAGAAATCAAAAGGGGAAGTTCTGTCTAATGCAGCACGTGTGTGACTGGCAGGTTGAACTTTACAGGGTGGAGCCTTGTCCTAAAAGGGGGAGAGAGGCATCTCCAGACCGAGTGTCCTTTCAGGAGCCAGTAGGTGAAGGAGAGGGGAAGAAGATTGTGTGTTTGACGAAGAAGTAAGGATGGATACTGGTGTCACTGATGCTATGTGTGACAGGGAAGGGAGGGTGCAGCTGTCGGTATATTTGAGTGAAGGCATGGGAAGGGAGATAAATGTGTGGGTGTGTCATATGACTGTGGGAACAAGGGAAGAGTGTTGCTATCTGTGTAGTGTGTGTTTGGGAAAGAGAGGTTAATGTGTGCAGTGAGAGAGAGTGCACGCCAAGGTACTGCTGTGCAAGAAAAACAGTTCACATCCATCAACTAATCTCTCCCTTTGTCTGTCTGCAAAAATATTTAAACATTTCACATGGTTAATTTTTGTCTGTATATTCTATCTTGTTCCTTCACTTGCAATGTGGCATGGCTCACTTTCTTAAGTAATCTCCTTTGCATCCATTTTGAGATGTCTGCTGTGATTCACTTGATTTGCATTCTGTGCAAACAGCAGACTGTATTCCAGGATTGTCATAAGATATTATTTACTCTTGTCCCCTGCTGTGTAAACGATACGGGTACAGAACCAATGTATTACCGTGGTTGGGGGGGGATCAATGTATTTGCATGAGCCATTTGAGGGAGTGGCAAAGAAAAAATAACTTCACTCTGTAACAGGTACTGTATGTACTGTGTTAAAAAATGTTGAGAGTGCAGTACTCTTTACATTAAGCCAGTAAGGCAGGTTTTTAGTGATCCTCATGTTAACCTTGTTGTTGGATTGCCCTGACTGATGTGGATCGTTTCCATGTTCTCCTCTTCCCAGTGCCCTATACTGAACCCAGGAAAATTGATTTCCAAGGTTGTTGGCCCCACAGTTACTAGTAATCGTATGGGTCAGGGTGCTGCGTAACTGTTCCCCTTCTGTCAGCAGAGCAGTGCTTGCAGAAGAGGAAGTTGGTGGTCCTTTCTGCTTCCACAGTGCAGCCCTGTAACTCTGGAATTAACGATAACTATCTGTGACTCCCCACCAATCATATGTGCTAACAAGTTTTGCATAGTTAGTGAATGGTCTCTCTATTTTTTCCTGATTAGGTTTGTATTTTACATCATTACATTGTGCTTCTTGCATTCTGTGGTCTCTTGACCATGATGTCTGTTGAGGTTCCCCCCCCCCCCAACTTCCTCAGTAAAATGACTACATAGTGAAAATCCACTCATAGCATATGAAGGAGTGGGCTCAAGTTCATGAAACTTATGCTGGAATAAAATTTTCTTAGTCTTTAAGGTATATCAGGATTCCTGTTTATTTTTGGAGGCTAAATTGTAAGTGAGCACAGTAGGTAAGGTTATAAAATGTAGTTACTGCTTACTTAGTTACTAACTTAGGGAGAAAGGTGTCCTACTTTACCATTTCTATGTTTTTTTCTTGTGCAAGAGTGAAATTGTTAAGCTTCTTTAGAATATATACTGTTATGTCTTATGTGAAAATTGTGTGAACTATTCTTTGCCCTCTAACTATAATTCCAGAGTTTTTAAACATTATTTTTGTTTTGCTGAACTTTGAATTTAAAAATGCTACGGTTTGTGATTTGTCTTGCATTCTTGTATGAGGAAGTATTCTATTCTTATTTTTTCCAATGGTTAGAGTCCAAAGTGTGTGTTTGGAAACAGTTTTACCATGTTTATGTAGGAAAGATGTTATAGTTTAACAGAGCAAAAGTTAAACTTTGTAGAGCTAGATAACTACAGGAATTCCTTACTGATAATATAAAGTTTACAGTGAAACATTTTACATTTTGATTTCAATTTTGTCATTTTTTGAGGGGAATACAATACAGAATCTATTTGCATTGGAAATACTGTTTGTTTTTTCCAGAACCTAAACTATGTTGCTGAAATACACAACAAGTACTTAAAGGGATACAGAAGAAGCATCACTTTATTGAAGACAACATGGGAAATACAACTACGAAATTTCGCAAAGCACTTATAAATGGAGATGAAAATTTGGCCTGCCAAATATATGAGAGTAATCCTCAGCTGAAAGAATCTCTGGATCCCAATATTTCTTACGGAGAGCCTTACCAGCACAACACTCCATTACACTATGCTGCTAGGCATGGAATGAACCGAATTTTAGGGTGAGTTTTGCTACTTCTGTGCATGATGCTCTTAAGTATGGCCATAGAGCCTTACTTGGAAGACCCTTTGCTGTACCAGTATTTTTATTTATTTATTTAGTATATACAGATATAGGGTGTCTGCATTTTGGCATCTAAATAACAGTACAACTAGTTTATGTAACCAAGAGGTTATGAGGTAATATTTCAAACAGCAGCTCTCATTGTGCTGCCTAGAAAACCAGTTTTCAAACCAAGGGCGCTTGTGAAATCAGTTTCTGATATGGAACGAGGGTCTGCTCTTCAAAGAAAACATACCAAAGGCCCCGAGAATAAATGGAATAGTACTATGAATCCTGCCCATAGTTATAATATCAATACTACTTAGTTATAATTAAACTGTGCTTTCTTGTCCAACTGTTCCTTAATCTCAAATGTAATTAAAATGGAATACAAATCCTAAGAAGTACTTTGTGAAAGTAACTCTGGGAGGAATAGTTATGCAGAAATCCTTTAGGATTCTGTCTTTGTCTTTTTCTGGTTGTATATTATTTTCATTTTGAAGAATTGTTTGCTCTAGGTCACACAGTAAATTAATTCAGAGGTTCCCAATACAGTAGCCAACTCTTTAACTACTTACCGTGGTGTATGTTGCACAAGGGTTGTTTTCATTTTTTTATTATTTGTAAAGACTATGCTGTAAGTTCTGGAAATCCTAGTCAAATGTTTAGAAACAATTTTTTAGCCCAATTTATATGTTTGTAATGTTGTAGCAATAATAGAGATAGCATATTAAGAATGCAGTATATAAAGATTAACAAAGACAGGAGTTTGCAGGATTTCTTCTGGAAGTTAGAGAGCACAAGAAAGGGGACCCACGAAAATCGCGGGGGGAGGAGCGGGGGAGCTCCACACAGAGCAGGCGGAGGAGGAAGCAGCAGGTAAGCTTTCCCCCATCCCGCCGGTCCCCCGTCTCCTCCACCACCACCCCCGGCTCGCTGGCCTCCCCTGCCTCCTCCCCCCGCAAGGCAGTTCGCAGAGCGTTCCCTGCGCATGCGCAGGGGACGCTCTTGTATTTTGAGGGGATTTAAATATCCCTCCGATATTTTTTTACACTTTTCAGATTTTTGTGCACACCTGGGGACTGCCCCGAGTGTGCAGGAAAATCTGCCTTCCCCCCAGGCGCCCCCGATGTGTGGATTTAGATATCCGCACACAGGGGGCGCCTTTCGCTATTAGTATATAGATTACAGTGATTGAACTTGGATGTGATTAGGGCATGATTCACCATGGCTGTAGCTGGCATATCAGCCAGAGCTTATGAAAACTCTACATACCATGGATCCAAACATAGGCCAGGATCCAGTAGCATCCACAGGTTATGAAAATGCTCCGTCAGGGAGAATGCAGCCCCTTTCCAGGACAGGTTAAAACAGTGTTGGAGCAGCTTTGCCACTGGCCCAGCTGTCTCTCAGTTTAGATTGAGCTTCAGTTTATTATCCCTCATCCATCCCATTACCTTCTCGAGGCAGCTGTTCAGGACTTGCTTAGCTGTTCAAGAAAAACAGAACACCTGTGGTGCTGCTCTTGCCTTTATTGTCATGTGTCGGCAGATCATTCTGCTTTTGAGGAGCTTTGCTGAAATTGCATTGTGGTGGTGGCGTGTTGCATAGCTTTAAATATAACTTTATGTTAACTCAGGAAAAGTGCTGCCTGCCCAACAACCTAAAACTACAAATACAGCTAGTATTTGTCTGACTGAAACAAACTAAAAAAGAGTGTAATAATTTAGCTATAAGACAGCATTATGTTAATCCTGAAATAAATGTTAACATGTAATTTATGTTAGCTGCTGGTGTCTTGTAAAATAACCAATAACACTGACGTCTGAAAAGGTTCATATTATTATTTCATAACTAAAGTAATGTGCAGTGATAGATGGCTTTGATGTTCAGTGTCAACACAGTTCATAGAAAGAGACCAGATGCTAATAAACAGATTTTGGCAGTTCTGGCCTCCAAGATCTGAAATAAACAAAAGCTTTGTTTTTAAACTTTCAAAATAATAAATTCATCTACCATAAATTAAAATAGAACATCTTTCCCTCTAATATCATGCTCCTAGCAAAGATAAGCAATGTAATAAATATCACTATGGATCTCATATTGACCTGCACTGTGCTTATTAGATGCCTCTTTGTATGGATATTGTTGATTTACACTGTGTAATCCTCTTTGTGTCTCAGTTTGAAAGCTGAACTGTAAATACAGTAAATAAATGTGCAGTCTGAATTACAGCCTCATAGTCTTCAATTTCATCTAGTTTCCAGAGACTTGTAATGCAAAGTAAATATGTTTCCTCACTAAATTGAAATTCATATTATTTCTTGTCTGTTTTATGTAGACATATAGGTATGTTGACATACAGGTATTGTATCTACTGAATGATAATTTTTGGTTAGGTCACCACCCCAACGTTTCAGTTTGGTGGGTACTATCTAACATAGTGAGAATTGAAAATATAGATCAGTTTGCTAGCTGTTTGTATTATTCAGAACTAGGAATAAAGCCCGTTGTGGAAATAAATACAACGGGATCTAGAAAGAGGCTCTGGGGGAGTGCTCTGGCTTTGGGCAAACAGTGTCAATTTGCTGTGGTGACCTCAGCAGGGTATAATGACAGAGTCCACTGTTTTCTTCAGAGGAACTGATCTCTGCTACCTGAAGAGCAGTTGTAATTTTGAGTGATCTGTAGCCCTCACCCGGAGATTGGCAACAATTGTTACCCAGGACGAAATGGCTGGTTTGGAGGGTGGAGTCTATGGCAGTCTACCTGTCTGAGGTCCCACCCCTCCGCAAACCCCACCCTCTCCAGGCTTCACCCCTCAAATCCCCAGGAACAGTCATGCCGGCCACATGACCACGGAAACATCTTCGGACAGCGCTGGCTCTTCGGCTCTGAAACGGAGATGAGCACCACAACCCTAGAGTTGGATTCGACTGGCTTGCGAGCAAGGGAAACCTTTACCTTTACATGTGCTTTGATTTACACCCATTCTGCAGCAGAGTTA